GAAGAAAGCAGTCTTCTGGGATTTGGCACCGTGTATATGTGGCGTTAACCGACGTTCCTCCGAAACGTCGGTTAACACCACATATACACGGTGCCAAATCCCAGAAGACTGCTTTCTACTTAAAATGGGTCTCGAAAAACAAAATGTGAATTTTCTCGCAAATGGCTAGAACGATTTTGATCTCCGCCATAAATAAAAATATATAGGCGGCATCTTGATATACTGCATATATATGGGTAGGGGCAGGAGGCGCTCAAACGGTTACGCAATACGTACGTGTCCTAACTTTTATATCAGCGAACAGTCAGGGTCAATCGTACGGGTATATGAGGAACTGTGTGGACTGTGTTTGCACCGACATTCTGTTTCTTCCAGGTATCGAACGGTAAATAAGTTCACGTGTATCAGTGTGACTATAGACGGGGTTTGGATTAATGATCGGATTTATCGGACTTTTTGATTCAGCGCGTGACTACACTTTACAACTGACTATTACATATACACATTAGTGCCTACAGTCGTTTTCACTACCCGTTGCTCCTAATTGTCCTGCTTACAATATTTCGGCACGGAGCGTACAGAAAACACATTCCTTATGTTGCTGTGTAACTGTTGCGTTCGTGTCTGTTGGGGTTCCCATTATTGTTTTATTCAACTGTTGCCGCTGAAACATGCTTGTTTGCAGAGCCGTTACTTAGCAAATCTGTTGTATATTTGCTTATTCCGCGGTCGTTGCCTAGCAATGGATCTAAATGCCACAATATCTTGTATACACGTTGGATTATGTAAGAGGCAATACGTCACGTGACGGTGGCCTTGAGCTGGGGAATTACACTGACGTAGGTAGGCATGGCTTTTGTCGTGGAGAAATGCTTACACTGTACCTACCTGATAATGGAGATGGGTGGAAACGGTTCTTCCGACCCGCCCAGAAGCTCCGGATAAGTAGGAGGCCGGGTAAATGACAAACTCACGTTATAAAGGGAATTATTGCAATGGTAGTTGGGCAGTTCGGCGCTCAACGTATTGCAGCTGGGAACAATATTTATGAGGTCTTATTACGCTGTAAAATAGTTTCGTTACGACAATCGATAAGGAACAAAGCAGACTGCGTCCACCCTTCTCTACCACGATCTTCTTACTGCCGTGAACGGTTTCAGTTTCAGCAGATTTCCAAACTGTAATTACATACCTCGACGACTCTGCAGACATGAACTTTATGAGGAAAGTAAAGACAGAACATTTTCATTTAGTGTTTTGACACCTCAGCTGTAGTGACAACGCAGAGTTTCGACTTTTCGCTTGCATTATAACCGGATAATGACGTCAGGGATGGAGACTAGAAAGTGAACTCGGCAGTAAATTTCAATTTCCTACACCAGCAGAGCACACGGCGAGGGGCGTAGTTACACAGAGCTCGTTACAGCCCCTCAGTCAATAATATGAGTGTTCGTGGAGTTCCCTGCAGTAATGGAATCCCAAGGTTCACTATCGTCAACATAAAAAGTCCGCTATTTCACTTGTGGTACAGTTAAACCCACTTCGTTATTGGTTAAACTTGTGAAGACAGAAGTGCATGTAAATAAAACGTAAAGATTCAATTCCTAGAAAGATAAGATTGAAATATGATGAATTTGAGGCTCCCACAGCAGTGGTCATGAACAGTTCTATCTCCTGGGACATAACGCTGTGTATTTTGGTGAAATTCCGTTTTCACCGGAATATATGGCATTAGATCGCAGAAGATAAAACTCTTGAAGATTAAGAGATGTTAAGAAAGGGAGATCGTTAGTAATGTTGTTTTGTAATATTAATGTAATAAAATTCAGTTATATTTTTCTATTAAACCAAAAGCTCTAAAACTGTGATATTTGGTCCATACGAAGCTCAGAGTCCCCTGTTACACATTTTATTTTAAAGCGATTTATTTGTAAACATATTTTTAATAATTTGTTCGATAATCATTAAAGAAACTGGCTTTCTAAGAAAAATTTATTACTGAAAATTTTAGGAAGTGTCTTCAAGAAAATAACATTAAAAAAAAGTCAACACACACACAAAAGCCTCAACTACACGTGCTCCACATTTTGTATTGTAGAGCTCGTAGTTGCTTAGAAAAATGCATCTTACTTTGATAAAAGTAACTCTACAAAGACAGGGACTACAATTTCTTTTAAAAAAAGTAGTTCACTTCAGATTAATGTTCGAGTTTTCTCCATTCCTAGCAGGCAGTAATATAGCTCCAACCTTTGTTCTTCGAAGACTCTTCCTGACGTAAATTTAATTTTAACACCCAGAATTTCCGGAACCTTTGATATTAATTTTTTACACATTTATTCTCCCCGTCATATAACTACAGTATAGCGCAAAAAAGTCATGCTACAGAAGCCGTGGAGACGTAAACTGAGGCTCACATCCATATTAAGGTATAGAATCAATGATGACCTAAGCACCACAGCGCACAGAACTGCACTGGCACCTAAATTTACAACACAAGTGAGCCTACATTTATATTTCGTATCCCTTCCAATTTATTTGAAATTACGAGGAATTAATGAAATTGGTGCTAGAAGACTAACTTCATAATTTATACAGCAAACCCATTAATGTCAAGATAGTCCAAAACGGCATCTTCAGGTTCTACAAATAAAATATTGTATGCATTCCTGTCTCTTATATTCGTGGTAGGTGTTGTGCTTAATGGTACCAAGTATGAACCTCCTCATTTTGCAACTTTCTCCAGCTTCCTCTTACTTTCTCTCTCGTGGGTATAAATATCCTCCTCCGAAAATTTTTCTCAAATATCCTACCCATGGAACTACATGGTGTCACATCCCAGACGACCGATACTTTATCAAGACATCAAACGTTACGAGTTACACGACACGCACAAATCAACTGCGAGAAGGTTCACGTTTTTAGTTCGTATCGCCCTCATCCCACAAAACAGGAATTCAGTATTACAGAATTAGAATCTAAAATTAGATTAAAAACTAGTTATTTCTAAACCTGAAATTTATACCTAAGACATTATTAAATCATTATATACTTATATTAAACATTTATAGGTTATGTCCACAATCTTTCGTACGTAAACAAAAGATATGACAGAATAAACGTCACTATTTATACTTGCATCCTACTTCTTAACACAAAGTTCTGGATCAATAACGTTAATTTATGATTGATTAGCCCTAAAACAATTTAAAAAACGTTCTTGTAACTAGCATCAACGTACGTTCGTTTGATTGTTGCTCACGACAAAATCGGAACGGTGAAGATGCGACATAATGACATCTAACGGGAAAAAATTCAATTACTACGACGTACTGGATATACAAACGGCAAAAGAGACAAAATTAGCAAAGACAGTAAAATCTACAAGCTCTTTATAATTTGTGAATAAACTACTTCGAGTGTAGGCTCACACTTCTGAAAATATTTCACTCTTCACTAAATATATATACATATTTTCTTCCATGTTTCGGGACTCCAAAAAGCATACAATTATGATTAACAATTAAAAATTGATAAGAAGTTACCTGCTATCTATTTCAACCGATCTTGACTTGTACACCAAAAGCAGTATAGTTCAAAAGACCAACAACAATAAAAATAATCAATTTTCGATATCTGAATTACATGTGGCCTCCAGCATGAAGCAGGTACCAAGCATATTTACAAACGGTAGAAGTTATCCGTCTGGCCAAATGTGTGGTTCAGGACTTAAGTGTAGAGGAGTGTCCGAGGCCGGTTACGATAGCCGGGAGGTCTAAGGCATGCAATGTCCTCGCTAATTCTGAAGCCGGGATCGTGGGTTCGAATCCCACACAAGGTATGGATGTTTTGAGACGAGCTGATCACTCTTCCAAGGAGTCCTACCGTCTGTAAAATTATCAAAATGAAAACAACCTCGACACCGTAAGGTATAAGAGGAACGGATTAAGTAAGTAAGTAGTGTCCGAGATTGCTATTGTACTTACTGTGCAGTAAATGAAGAAGGCGCCCAGTGTGATCACCCTCAGTAGCACAGGACTGGCTGCCCTCACCACCTGAAACAACAACAAAGAATCGTTGCTGACACAGTCTCAAACAGAGGTAACCAAATACCGCACCCCAAAGCAGCGGTTGAGTGCGCAGGCCCGTCTTGTATTTGGGAGATCAGGGGTTGAAATCTCGGCCGGGAATCGGGTACATTGATGATTCTAATGGTTCCCCCGTCCCTCCAGGTAAATGATGGTAAAATGAGTCAATCTCTACGCCATCACTTCCTTCAGCATCCCTTTCGATTCATTATTCACTAATCTTCCTGTAATTCGACTCCGCTGTCTGTCTGTCTGTCTGTCTATCTACGTGTATCTATGGCTCTACAGCCCTTTGTTGGGCTTTCGCCGCTTTCCGGTTTCTTAATCCTATACACAGTGGGTAGGATTCCTTGGACGGGGGATCAGCCCGTCGCAAGGCTGCTACTTACACACAGAACAACACATAGAACAAACGCACACAGTGGGACTCGAACCCATGAACCCAATGTTCGAGCGAGCGAAGACAGTTCATGCCTTCGACAGCGCGGTCATTGCGTTCGGCTTTGATACCGTTATGGCAGGAGATATTGATAGTGTCGTTAAATAAACCGGAAATAAATAAAACCTTACAAATGACTGTAACTTTTAGCAGTTGATAGATTTCATAAACGTTAATGTTTTAGTGGGATTTTTACCAATGTTTTCAGCACCTCCGGTTATACAGCGTCGAGTGGTAGGATGACAGATCAGTGATGAAGTGGAAGGGATTTGGAAGGAAGAAGTGGTGACCAAACTCATATACAACGGCAGAATTTTACAGAAGGCCCCAAGGAAAACCACTAAGGGCCTGAATTGGTTTTGCCGGTATCCCAACCGAGAATCTAACCGATATCCTCCAGAATACAAGCACAGAACGTTACCGCTAGATCAGCCTGCCAGTTCTGCTTGCAAATGTGAAGTTATAAGCAGGTGTTAGCTTCTCACCGAGGAGAGTGAACTACAGCTGCGATTTGTGACGAAGTTACACTGGGTCAGGCTTTTCTCGGAACACTTCAGGGGGCGCCCGGTAGCGTACTTGGTTGAGGCACTATGCTACAAGCCGGAAAGTTGCGGGTTCGAATACTGATGAAGTCACTGGATTTTTTTCAATTGACCTAATCTTTCCTGCCGCACTATATCCCTGGGGTCGACTCAGCCTCTAACAGAAATGAGTACCAGAAATCTTCCTGGGGGGTACAGGGCGGCCGGCGCGTAAGGCTGACAGCGTCAAAGCTATCTGTGAGCCGATTGTTTAGAAAATGTGAGAGCCTCGACGTCTCGCAAACATATGGGGCTCCACGGCCTGTTACAGGGATAACTTTACCTTTTTAACCTTTTACATTTCAGTTTTGACCTGCCAGTTGTCACTCACCAATGCCCAATACACACTTATCGTCAGGGGATGTTACAGGCCGCAACACCAAGGGACTGCTTCACCCCACTCACACAGATAACTAATTAAAACTTGATAATGACCGGCTGATAGCAGTGAAATCTAAATACGACTTTGGTATGTCACATGCCGCATGTTTATATAATGAAATTATTTGTGTTTATTTTCCCTACAAGCTGTCCCACAAAACAGGATGTTTCGGACAAGCGGTTCCACTTCAACTATTATTATCCCTTCGCATTCTTCCCGTCCCCGAAAACGTCGGGTTTCTGACAGCAACAGAACAGCTGAGTCAGGAAAGTGGAATGAAAGACCGTGGCTCGATTTCCGGCAGAGGCCACTATGCCAAGTCGATACGGGGGGTGGGGCATATCTGAAGACTATCGGAGCGTCTTCTCCAGGAACAAGAGGGGCCAGAGGCCCGAGAGGGACGCACTCCATTCAGCTATTTCAGTACCGATGTATAGGGCGTTCCATAGCTCAGGCGGCTAGTCGCTGGCTTCCAACCTGGCGGCCCGAGTTCGAGCCAGAGTCAGGTCATGTGGGATTTGTGGTGGATGTAGTGGCAGTGGGGCAATTTTTTTCTACGAGTACTACGGTTTCCCCTGCCAAGTCTTATTCCACCGACTGCTCCACAGTCACCATCGTATACCATCCGGGGCTGGTACACTAGGCCAGTTAGTGGCCGCAGTGCTGAGTGGACTCAGTCTCACCCCATCCCAAGAAATAATTAAAAAAAATACTGTATAGAATACAAAAAGAGTTACCCCTGCACCCCTTTACGTATTCGTTGAGTGGTGGTCCGACAAGAGCAGTGTTAACGTATACTTTACCTGCAAATCATAAATATGTCCAAAGAAGCAACATATGATGTCTGACAATTTGAATCTGGCCTAACAAACAATTATCATCAAATCTGGTAACAAGGTAATCGATCAAAGCATATTTCGAAGAAAACTGTCTTCTAAATATGTGACGCCGTATAGTTTAGTAAATCGTTACCAACGTTTCAGAGTACCCTACCGCGTTAATCCTTAGGATATGTATCAACGTTTCGGAGGAGCCTCCTGCCTCTATATGCAGGATAGCGTGTTCTTCTGAAACGCTAGTACCAGACTACACGGAGTCATAGCTTAGGAGGCAGTAATCCTCAGGGTCACTGCTGTGAGAACAGCAACATATGCAATGTCTGTTTCGTCCTTTCACCCTACACGTGCGAATCATATTCATGTAAAGCACAGTTTGGGCGAGGATACAGAAGAAAGCAAAGGATGAGGAGAAAGAGGGAATGATGGGAGATGTAGGGAAGGAGAAGACAGAAGGAAATGGAGGTGAAGAACGAGATGTTTAAGATATAAGAAAAATGAGAAAAGAAGGAACGATATGAGATGGAAAAGGAAAAAAGAGATACGGTGTGAGGTGGAAAAGGAAAAAAGAGGAAAGATGTGAGGTGGAAAATGGAAAAGGGGGGGGGGAATGAGTATAGAAAAAGTTGAAGAATAAGCAGGAGGGGAGAGGAAGACGAAACAGCTGCTGTATTTCATGTCAACCCGATACCTGCACTGTTCAGAAAACCATCATTCCAGAAAATAAAAACTGTCTTCTTGAGATGAAACGGGCCCGAAAGAGATAAGTCCCTTGAACGTCTCATGTGCGCAAGACAAAGCATTACAGAGATGACGGCCATATCTCATTCCTTTCGGTTCCAATAATAAGTTCTCGGATCTCAGTGAAATCCTGGTCATGAAGCAGGGCTTCTAGAACAAATTCCGCCGCCAATTCCCTTAACATAGGAGCAATTTTCTTGTCTACAAAAATACATTTATTTTAATCTGCATGTTATTGATTTCTTATATTCACACGTATTCCTCTTTGTTTTCATATGAGGGGGAGACACATTTCACCTCTCGTGACAGACAGCTGGGATTTAATTTCAAATATTCATGGTTTCTTCTTTATTACAAGGGGAACGGTTGAGGAATGTTTGGCTAAAATTTATGGTCTTAGTTACTCACAATATTCAAAGATGGATACTGGGACACGTGTTGGCGTAGTCAGAATACGCACTATGCTACAAGCCGGTAGGTCGCGGGTGCGATATATGACAAGGTCACTGGATTTCTCTATTTACCTAAGCCTTCCAGCCGCACTATGGACTTAGGGTCGACTCAGCCTCTAAAATAAGTATCAGGAATCTTCCTGGGGGTAAAGGGTGGCCAGGTGGGGCGTAAGGTTGAAAACTCACCGCCATCTGTGAGCAGACTCTTTAGAAAACGTGGGAGCCTCGACGTCTCACCGCCCTATGGGCCTCCACGGCTTGTTACAGGGATAGCTTTGCCTTTTCTTTATAACTCGAATATGCCTCATGCTTGAGGACGGAACAGGCTAACAAGCTCAACTTTTGCATATGATAATAGCGATTAGTATTGTCTCCTGGGTTGTAATGAAATGCATTTCGGAGACAGTCCAGCGTTTCTAAGGAAATTTCTGCCTCCATCTTCCAGGTCGAAAGTAAACCAAGCAAGAAATGAGCAGAAGTAAATGGCAGGCTGGGCCTGAAGGTGAAGGCAGTGCGATTCTCCGATAAATCCGAATCCCTCTGAACTACACGGCTTTCAAAATCGTACACTTCATAGTCACTGCTATGAGAACCTCGGATTCAACAATTTCTCTCTCTCTCTGCATACCATTTATATGACGGCTAGAACTGGCTTACATTTCACGCCCTGAATTCGAAAGTAAAGTTCTGTTAACATCTCTTGCGAGAACACTTTGGCCCACGTGACTTTTTGAGGTTCTAACGGGGAAGAAAGTTAAGATAGCAGCCTTCTTGGATGTGGATGCGGAAAGAAAGAAGAAGAAGAAGAAGAAATCCGTACCTGAAAATGGTGCATCTGAAGGCTTGCTGCTAATCTTTCAGTTTTTAATATTATTAAACGATTTATGTAACAGTAAATAAAATATGTCACAACAGGACAACAAGACACTGTAATTTTCATACATTAATTCTTCAAGATAAAAGACGTAAACAGTAATCTTACTAAATATATATTAGTGTAACGATGAAATGAAACCTCTGAAATTACGTAATTTCGGGTTACCATATCACAGAACCACGGACCGTTAACCAATGCATGAATATAAGTTACGTAGTAAGTCTCGAGCGAGCGAGCAGGCTTTGTTTCGGTGTATTGTGTCTATTCCGTGAATACTGACAATACTTCCCGTGGTTGCATTACAAATCGATACACAAACATTAACACATAACGAAGTGTACGCACATTTATCAGTAATTACATCTGTAACAACTGAAGAAATGTGACCGTCTTTAGCATTTACAATCTTTAAGGAATGTATCTTCTTTTGTATTAGTACTATGTGTATATGCGACCGCCTCTGTGGTCTAGTGGTCAGAGGTCCTGAACACAAATCCTGAGGTCTCGGGTTCGATCCACGGAGCTGCCAGATTTTCTGAGAAGTGGGTCTGGAACGGGTTTCACTCAGCCTCGCGAGGATAACTGACGAGCTATTTCTATGAAATAGCGGCTCCGGTCTAGAAAACGGAGATTAACTGCTGCGAGGATGCGTTGCGCTG